AGACAGCTCCATCCCGCTGCCAACGGGTAACGGGCAGGGAGGGCTCGGGCTGTGGGAGCCCGAGAAAAGGTGTTTATAGAGGGAAAGTGGGCAGCAGGCTGTGAGCAGAAAGCAAAATGGTGGCACCCGACCCTTAGAGAACCTGCTTCGCTCAGCAAATTTGGCCTCTGGGGCTATAGCTGCGTTTTGGGGAGGAAGATTTACGCGAGAGACGGGGAGGTAGCGATTCGAGCACCCTTTGGGAAGGTAAGAAAGCGCTTTTCTTCACCTCTGACTTTTTAATTGCTTTCTTTAAATTAATCGGAGCATCAGGGAGCAGAGTGCCTGACGGCAGCACGTACTCGGTGCAGCTGGGCCTCTCCCCCCCCCCGCCTCCCTTTGATGCTGTATCACCAAGTTGTGCCAGGCGCCAGCTCACAGTCAGATAAACAACCAGCCAGGCCCCGTTCAAGACAAAAGCAAAAGGGAGGAGGAGAAGCTGGAGGGGGCAGAGGGATCTTTCTGACTGCTCGGGAATATCGTGGCAGCCCACAGGGTCCGGGTGCTGCACAAGCGAGTAAGGAGCCTTTGATCAGGTCTCCAACTCTCATAAATATACAGCAACCAGCTAGGAGAGGATTATCCTTTAATCTAAATATTTATAGGGTTTAATTTGGCTGGTGGCTCTGGTGTCATGGCAGCCCGAAGAGGTGCCTTTGTAGGGCAGAGCTGGGCTGTATCCTCCTGCGGGCTCGGCGCCGGTCCCATCGCCTCTCCCTGCCGTCGCTGGACCGCAGGGCTGGCAGCTGCTGGACACCAGCCCCATGCACAGCCCCGTCCCCATCCTCACAGCACTGCCTTCAAATTGGTGGGGTTTATCCCCCCGTTCAACCCCAAGGCTGTGCCAGCACCCAGGATTTTACACCTGGAGGTGTAAAAGCTCTTCGCTATGTTGAGGGGGAGCTTCCAGCAAGGAGCAGGTGAAACGAGGAGGCTCAGAAGGTCCCTTTGAAGCAGATCTTTGATGACATGAACATGTCGTGGGGTTGGTGGGGTTTGGTCATGCTGTGCAAGAAGTTTCAAACCCGGCTAATGCCAGGGGACAGGCACAAGGCCCAGCTCAAATTAAGCGTCCAGAAAATATCCAGCTCAGGGTGGGGAGTGTGCTGCTCAGCCACCAGCTAGGGTTCCTCACTGGGGGCCAGATTCTGACTTCACTTACTCCAGTATGGGTCAGGAGCGACTCCAGCACCTTCCAAAGGGTGACAGCCCCGTAATGAGGTTTGGCATTAGCATCTGTACAGGAAGGCCAAGTTTTAAATCAATGGATGCCTCTAGCCGCAGGCTGGAGGCAAGGTGATTTATACCGAGGGTGCAGGAGCCAGGCTCAAACCTCTGCCATGGAGCCCCAGGAAGGAAGCAGTGGGTCAGCCTTTGGCCCCAAAATACGTGTCTGAGTGCTGGCACCTGGATCTTAGCTCAGAATAAAGCTGCTCCCAAACCTCAGCAGGGTTTGGGTATCACTGTCAGCTTTTGTGAAATGGGGGCTGAGGTGAGGATGGGGTGACAATTCCGGGAGCACACCTAAGGTTTGATCTTCGCCTTGAACACCGTCTGCCTTAGAGCAAAGTCCCTACAGGCCAAGGAGGCAGCTGCCTCCCCCCCCCCCCCCCCCCCCCCAGAGGTGGTTGTGGCAGGTGCTTTGGATAAAGTTTTGCTCTGCTGTAGCTGCGGCCTGTGGCAGAAAGCAGGATGCACTTTACAAAACCACTGGCAGGGAGTGCAAAGTGCTCTTGTGCTGAGCATCCACTGCTGGCTCAGCTGCTGCCAGGATCAAAGCATCCACTGCTGGGCTCAGGAACAGCCGAATTCAGGCTGTCTGGACAGCCCACTGCATCGCCCACCGGGAATACAAAGTACCAACTGCAGAAGATGTTCCCTGGTACCCTTGATAAGGAGCCCGAGAGCGGCACTGCCTCTCAAACTTCTGCCAGAGATAAAAGCGGGGAAAATATGGAGAAAGTGAGGATGTTACCAGGCTCTTCTGGGGACAGGATTTGTTCCTGTGTCCCTGGCTGGATCTTCCAGCCTCTTGGCTGAATGGCAGCATGAAGGATGTTTTGGGGGGTGTAAATGCAGGGCTAGTTTGGAGGTTACTAGGGATTACACAGGCCTCAGTAAGAAAACACAGCTGCTGGGTTGCTCTTGGGCAAATCACTGAGGGTATCCCTCAGGCTGAGCTCACCGGCGAAAGGGAGAGGGCAGAGCACGCACGGGGCTGCATGTTTTTCCCTGATGTCCCCAGTTCTCATCACTCTCTGCCGTGGAGTGACTTTCCCCTAAACGTCTCCCGTTATCTCCTGTCTTTTTACCTCCACGTCTTGGCTCGCCTGCAGACCTCTCCCAGAAGAGACAGGGATGGAGTCGCTGGGCAGCCCTACAGAAGACGAGAATACATCCTGTAAGTACCAGTCTGCCTTGTCAGGAGTTCAAAGGAAAACAAGCCTATGGGAACGGCAGCTTGCAGTTAGCACAAAAGCCAGTTCTCTTGGAGTATCCACACAAAAAAAAAAAAAAAAATCCCACACGGGAGAGGAAACCAGCAGAATTTTCTATTTTTTTCACAAGAAGCCGGGGGAGGAAATAGGTATCTCAAAAGTGTGGGTGCTTTTATCCAGCCATACCTGCAGGCGTCCAGAACCTCCCAGCTATGAGCCACCACTTTTAGCTTCCAAGACCGTAGCTTGAAACGTGCATAATGAAAGCACCATGTCTTGCACTAAGGGTAGAGGATGAGGACAACTTGTCAGTTATTTTCCTTTTAACTCCAGCTCCCCCAAATACTTTGAACTTTAATGGGGCGCATCGTAAGCGGAAGACACTCGTTGCACCCGAAATCAACATTTCCCTGGACCAGAGTGAAGGCTCCATTCTCTCCGATGACTTCTTGGACACACCAGATGACCTCGACATAAATGTGGACGATATTGAAACTCCTGATGAGACAGATTCCCTTGAATTCCTGGGAAACGGGAACGAACTGGAATGGGAAGGTAAAAGGCTGGTTTGGGTTGAATGTCTGCAAGGGTTGGGGCTTTTTTTAGCCTCATTTTAGCCACTTCTGACACCACTCACCATCAGCAGCTGAGGACCAACTCCACCAGCAGTGAAACACAGCCCCATCTTCCACACAGCATCTGCCCCAGCAGGACCCCAGCTATAACCCAGGAGTCCCAGTGCTGCTATTGCAGCACTTCCATCAGGGGATAGCGTGGGCAAAAATAGTTCAGGGACTTACAAACCCCAGTCTGGCCATAATTCAGGATAAGGCTGTGGACACACGTGCCCTGCCAGCAGCAGCTGGGCCACCACTCCAAGCTGGAAGGCGCTGCCTGCTTGGCTCTGCCAGCAGAGCTGTCACGGGAATGTTCAAACATCTCGAATAACACGGTCTTTGCTAACCTGGCTGGTCTGGACTGGCTCGGGCTAAGGAGGACTCGTGCAGACAGCTCTGCTAGCAGATCAGAAGACAACCCCTTTGCCACAGGCGGCACCTTCTTCAGCCAGTATAGATGGATCTGAAGGAGGATCCAGCAAAATTCAGGTGCCCGACCTGTGACTGCAGGTACTGAAGCGGCATGAGATGATAAGCTTATTTCTATTACAATTTGGCAATGGGACAAGATTAAGAACCACAAACTTACACAGATCAAAGTTGCAGACGAAAGGGATCATCCTCCATTCGTGTTTTTTTCTTGTCTCTTACTGCACACCAAAGCTCTTGCAGAGCCTCTTCATACATTATGTTAAAGGCAGAAATGTTTGTCCCTTTTCCAGATGACACTCCTGTAGCCACAGCCAAGAACATGCCTGGGGACAGCGCAGACCTCTTTGGGGACGGTGGGACAGAAGATGGGAGTGCTACTAACGGGCGGCTCTGGAGGACTGTCATCATTGGAGAGCAGGAGCACCGCATCGACCTCCAGATGATCAAACCCTACATGAGGGTGGTGACACACGGAGGTGAGGGGGAGGGAGGCCTAATCCTGGCTTGGTGGATTTCTTTCAGTCCACCTTTGTCAAACTGGAGGGGATGCCGTGACCGATTGTTGCATCTTTAGGGAAAAACTGCTATTCGTTTTGTACCACTATGTGGCAGACAAGCACAAAAGCACCCAGCTCATGGTAAAAAACATATAGTTGCTGTAGCAGGCTTTCAGTAAGCCAAAGCAGTGATAAAGCTGGCTCTGAACAAGATGGAATGTACCCCAATCCTCAGCCCTGGGTGCAGGCAGCATTGCCAGTGCTGAAGGGACCGCAGGGGCTTAACCCCCTGTAGGGATCTGTCTCTGGAGGCACAGCGAAGGGCCATTGCGGCCACAGTTAGAGGCCACTTCTGAAATCCGAGCAAAGCCAAGCAGCCACCCAGGGCAGAGCTCTCAGCTCTGCGCTGACACACACACAGATTCCCTCCCCGAACCCCACATGCCTGTTATAGCCAAAACCAGGATCAGAGGCAAATCAGATCATGAAGGAGGTCTGCGAGAGACAAACACTTACCTAGGGCTGAACAGAGGCACAAAAACCAGCACAGGCCCAAATTTGGCCATACATCTTCAGTGCCGTTTTTTCCCTCAATTGCATCTCCCCCTGGAAAGAGTCACTGATGCTGCCTGTGTCTCTTTTCCCCAGGATACTACGGAGAAGGTCTCAATGCCATCATTGTCTTTGCTGCCTGCTATCTGCCCGACAGTAACCTGGCCGATTACCACTACATCATGGAGAACCTCTTCCTGTAAGTGGCTGGGGTCTGTGAGGGGAGAGGAGGGCAAGGAAGGTAACTCGGGCTCTAGGAAAACAGTGTCCATGTATCCACTGCATCAGGAACCTCAGCTGGAAGTAGTTTGAATCCGGGCCAGATGTACCCATTGTGCAGCTGCAGACTGGAGCGAGTGTCACTGGGTAAGACACTGCCCACAGCGTTTGCATCCAAATCCAGTAAGTCAGAGCATTCGAACATTTAGTGCTAATTATGCCAGGGATGGACTCACAACCAGGGTAGAGCGTGTGCATACGATGCTGAACAGCTGGTAGATGCTACTGCTAGGCAGAGGAATGGTGCAGGGATCTCCATCAGTGTAGGCACTCTGCTAACAAGCACCAGCAGTCCTTGAGAAAGACCCCTGGGCATCCTGCCGAGAGTTTGAAACCTATTCCAAGGTCTACAAAGAATGTGGCTGGAGTCCTTTGGGGATGATACACAGCCACCTGAAGAAACCTCAAGGGACTTTTTTTTTTTATTTTTTTGAGTCTCATGTCCCTGTTGTTTTTTGATCACTGCCCAACAGGTACGTGATCAGTAGTCTGGAGCTGCTGGTGGCTGAGGACTATATGATCGTGTACCTAAACGGAGCAACGCCCCGGAGGAGGATGCCAGGCCTCGGCTGGCTGAAGAAATGCTATCAGATGATAGACAGAAGGTGAGAGTCCTGCTGGTGTTGCCTCTCCTCTTCCCACATCTCTTCCACTGCTTCCTTCCCCCTCCTTCCTCACTCCCCACATTCTGTAATCCCTTCCTCTGTCACAGCCTTCTGATTTACTCTAGGCTCTCTTCATCACTTCTTCCTCCTCCTTCTTCCCTCACAAGCATCTTCACAGAAATCTGATACAGCACCCAAGTTTGAGCTTAAATAGGGCTCTTAAGGCTTTTGTCTGGCGACACCCAGCTGAGGGTGGTGAGCATCGTAACACTCATTAGTGCTGTGACAGTTACAGGCGAGTTTAAGAAAAGGTACTTTGAACCTGAGTTTCTGTCCCATGGCTTTTCCACAGGCTGCGTAAAAACCTCAAAGCATTGATAATTGTGCATCCTTCGTGGTTCATCCGGACAGTGCTGGCGATCTCCAGACCCTTTATCAGGTAAATATAACATGTTGCCAAACTCAGCTGGTTTTGGGGTGGAAGTTTAGTCTCACGCATCAGATCTTAAGCTCACCTTTAACTAGTAGAGACCAAGGCGAAACCATTCATCATTTATCCTACCTCTCTCTGATGCTTCCAAGGACAACTCTAGAGGTGGTTTTAGGAGACACTGGTGACTTAGATCCAAATCAAAGTTTGTCCCAGTGGGTAGCACTTAAAGATTTACTGGCAAGTGCAGGAACGGTGGTCCGTCCTTTTTCCCTCCTACAAATATTGAGAGGTGGGAGTGAAAGCGAGGTGCAGTAAAGTGCCATCTCATGAAAACTTTTAGTCATCAGCACGACGGCACCGGGAGGACACGACGGGTACACTCAGACTACAGAGGATACAGAGATGCAGAACTCCTCATTTCCATCAGGAAAATTCTGGCTTCCTATGGAGAGAACATCAAAGTGAGACCTCAAGCACACGCTCTTTCTCTCTCTCTGCCAGTGTGAAGTTTATCAATAAGATCCAGTATGTTCACAGCCTGGAGGAACTGGAGCAGCTCATCCCAATGGAGCACGTACAGATCCCAGACTGTGTCTTACAGTGAGTATCAGCGCACACGTAGCTCTGAGGAGGTGGGGGACAAAAATCCTGTGTAGCAGGATATTGTGTTGAGTCAAAACCCATGTACTGGAAACACAGAGCCCGGGGCCAACCTTACCTGACGCGTGTACTGGTGCCAAACAAGAGCCTGCACACTGTGCTACTTTGCAGTTTCTGTCACCTTCAGAGCAAACATTGCATTTTACTAAAAGTGTACGGTCCTGACTGGGTGACATTTAAAGAATTTTTCCTGTTTGTTGCAGATATGAAGAAGAGAGGATCAAGGCCAGAAAAGAAAGGTAAAATTAGTTATGGGGGGGATGGAGGGTGGGTTCGTTTTCTTGGGATGCTGTTGCTTTCTCTCATCATTATTTGTGTTATAACCAGTCAATTCTGTGTTCCTCCTACCCTGATATCCCACACAGCCTACACTTATTTCCTACTGAATTTCTGAAAATAAGCAAAAGCTGCAGGAGGGAGGAGAAGTTCGATTAAAAGTTTATTTATCCATAGAACTGTTCCTCTTAACCCCATCGGTGCACACATCCTGAACACGCACCCTATGTGCTAGCCAAGGTCATCAGAAATCACTTTATGTATGAAAAATGTCACATTTTCCCCACCTGATGATGCAAACTGACCTTAAAGCGAGAGCTAGTGCTTCTTTTAAAAGCCACTTCATTCTGCTAGAGTGGCATAAAGAGGGCCATTAGTTTACAGTTTGATTTTTTTCATTTGCTAGACCCAGTCCATCGCTGGTGATTTCGGTTAGAAGTGCTGGCCGTAAGCAGTGATAACAATCAGCTCTGCTAAAGCAAAAGGCAGCCACGACCAGGGGAAGGACCAGCTGGGTCAGCACAAGAGCAATGTGCTGTAATAACACCTGCTCGAGCTAGGGAACTGAATGGGAGATGCCAGTTTGGGAGGATTCAGTTCATGAGCTGCAGAAAAGCGAGTTGTCCAGCCCAAATTAGTCAGCTACCTCCCTCTAGCGCCGACAGAGGCATCCTGAGAGCGTTAGTATTATCCGAGCTGTATATCACAGGGACGAGAAGTGGTTTCTGATCCTCTGCAACCCCTGCCTGAGGTCCCCCTATCTCCCTAGAAAGGCCTTAGACACTCTACACTGCCACGCTGCTCGCCTCCAGGTGATAGATTTCAAACGTGACTTGTGTTTACAGGGCAGAAGAGAAACAAGATGTGGCTGAGAAGGAAAGGTAACGACTCTTTTTTTGTTTATCCGTCACTTATGGAATAGCTTAAGCAGTCTTTGGCGATGAGGATGGCCCTGTTGCTCGGTAGCGCCCCTGGGCAGCCAGGCTCTGCGCTCTGGGAGGTGTTTGGACCCAATGGGACATTTCTAAAGTGTCTGGGAAGTGGTAAAGCCTCTCCTCTCCCTACCAGCTCCCTGTGCCGCCACTTCTGTGATTTTATTGACCTTCACCTAGGCAAATGGATTCCTGACACTGCTCTTTACCTCCGTAAAGCTAGCGAACCCGTTTGGTCGTGGACCAGAGCCAGAGGCACCAGGGAACAGTCTCCTGACATTCAGTTGTAGCATTTGCATGATGGTGCAATGCAGAGGCCAAATACTGCTGTCAGGCACATCTCGGGGGTGCGTAAAGCCAACATATGAGGCTGTAACTTTAGATGGGAAGGAAAATTCTAGGCAGGTTTGAAAGACAGTGTCAGAATCCTATGCCAGGATAATTTGGCCTGGTTTTAGCTCTGCTTCAGAATGATATAGCCTCACTTTTTTTTTCTTTTTTTTTTAATTCTATCTAACTAGCTCCTGAGGGGGAACAGTGCATATTCATGCTATTCTCTTCCCAGAAAAAAAAAAAAAAAAAAAAAAAAAAAAAAAAAGATCAAAATTGCCAAGATCCATTGGATAAGTCTGAATCGTTCCAAAAAACAAATGGGACCTCAGGGCCAAAAGAGAAGGTGGTTAGTTTGTGGTGGAGATTCACTTATTGTTTTGCTGGTTCTCTTCCAAGCAGGCCTGTGCCCCCAGCAGAGGATCAAGAAACCAGGTTTGATTTGCCTCTGTTTGTGTGATAGATTTCGTTGCATTTTTGAACTGTCTTCTGTTTGTCTCCGTGTGATAGATTTCATCCCGTTTGTAACCCCCCCCAACAGGAACGACAAGACCGGGTTAGACCCAGGACCTCTTTAGCCCACTGCTACTCATGGAGCACAAAAGAGGCTCCAGCCACTTTGCAGCAGGCGGGGGACAGAACCGGGAGGCTTTGACACCTTCACCCTGCCACGGTCACAGCCGCTGTGGCTTGTCTCAAAGCGCGGGCTGGTCAGAGCTGCAGCTGCTCTGGGGGCACTTGAGAAAAGCTGCCCCTCAATAAATTACCTGGCATTTGCCACGTGGTAAAAGTGTCCATGTGGGAATTTACTGCAGAGCTGCCTTCCTTTACCCTGTTTCATGGTCTTGTTCACTTCCTTAGAGAAGAAAAAGCCTATTAAAGCTGTGAATGACATTATCTTTGGCCCTGATACAACTTTGTAGAGGATAACACCCAAACATACTCATATTTTTTGACATAGTGGGAATAACAAATTTTTTTTACTTACAATTTGCTTTCTAAAAATACCTCTGTCTTTCTGTTCCTTCCCAGTATGTCATGAATCGAAGCAGAGTGGAATGAATGGAGCAGAAGAATGACGCAGCCTGGCAGTCACCCACGTAAATGACCTTTTGGTGTAAGACCTTGTCACCATCTTATTCCAAGTTCTGTAAGATCACGGAGCCTGCCTCCCCTGTCTCCAAGATGCAAAGTCCTTTAAACTTTTTGAAAACATTTTACTTTAAAAAAAAAAAAAAAGAAACAAAACAACAACAAACCAAACAACACCAAAAACTACCAACAAATCACAAATCAAAACGAGCCAAGAATAGCACTTTTCAGGACAGGTTGCAGTGTGCTTCAGTGATGGTCTGTGGAGAGCTATTAAGTAGTGCAAATAGAAACCGTGTTTCCTCTTAGTAAGTTAAGAGCATCCTGTAGTCCATTAGTCACCAGCCCAGAAAGAGATATATTTTTTTGTTTAAATTATAATCCTTTCCCTTAACTTGCTGCTGGCCAGCACTGAGACATTTTGCTTTAAACTGCACACCCAGTTTCCTCCATAAAGACATTACAACAGCCATTGCCCCAGGGAATAACTAATACAGGCAATGAAAAGTGAATTTTCAACCTTTCTATAGCCAGTATATGTCTCTTCCTGAAAATACCAAGTGCCCACGGGTCTAGGCACCTCTTCCCGCCTTGACTGCCTCTGTTAATTCATTGCCAGTTCCTCTTATTAACTCACACAGAACCATTCCTATCAGTAAATGCCATGTTTTTTTTTTTTCCTGACTTGTTCTGTCTCAATTTGTAAAGCACTCTTGGTAACTTTGAGAGTCCCATACGGCGTGGCAGCCTCCACAGAACCTTCTTACGAGCATCTTCTCACATCCACACGCACACAGCAAAAAGGTCTGGTTTTAAGAAGGAGCCTTACGGACAGGAAAGTTTTTCAAGCCTTGTCTTGGTCTTGATTTCATGACACTGGACAATCATTCACTATTAATACCTCCTATTGCGGAGACAAGCTGCTAAACGTTTGAAATTTCCTACTTGCCATCCCTGGGTAATGAGAGCCTCACCTATAAACATACCTGACTGGGACAAACCCGGGTGGAGAATGCTGCGGATGTGGAGGCAGGACATTGCACCCGGGTTCAGCTTCTCGGCCAAGAGATGCAGGACGTGATAGTGAGACTCTGAAATTTATATTTTGGACTTGTGAGGATTCTGTAAGCAAAAAAGGGAAGAAAATTTTAAAAGCAACTATATCTGGCCAAGATAATTTGGAAACTCCTGATTTCACCAGAGCCAGCTTACATAAACCGTTTCAAATGCAGCAGGTTAAAACCCCTTGCAGACAACTGCAGATGAAGAATTACCTGCGTGTTGCCTCACTTACGGAATAGTTCAAACCTGGCAACCCTCACCCGTGACTATTTGAAACTATCACTGCTTCACTCAGCTCTGAAATCCCCTGGAGCATAACCCTGGCAAAGCAAGATTTCCCCCAAGGATGTCTCCTCTGAATAGATAAAGCTTCCTCTTATTCTTTCAGTGAGTAAAACTGCTACAGATGAGATCTTTATTTTCCTGAATGCTACAAAGGAGCACCAAATATTCTTTCTATCTTCTCATTTGATACATGTTTTTCTCATGCTCTTCCATCATGAATGTATTTACTGAACAGACCTTTGCATGAAAAACAGAGCACTGCATCCACAGCGTTAACCCCAGGAGACGAAGATGGTAAAAACTCCATATTCTGTCTCACTGGCGTGTTACTAACAAGCACCAAGCAAGCATCAACCTCCACAGCTTTCTAGAAACTTCACTATGAGCCAGTTATTGACAAAGTGAATTCTGTGCTACAGGGAAAAAAAACAGCACATCAGGTTTTCTGGAGTTGAGGTTTTATGCCAATAACACCTCCCCACAAACAGCGTTCTGTCTCCAGCTTCCCAGTCAGCAGACATCTGTTTCAAGACAGAAGCAGCAGTCAGAAATTTTCAAACACGAATGTGTTAACCCAGTCTGCAAAGCTGGGTATCCTTCTTCACACGTGGGCTGTCAGATGGACTAAACGAACCCACGGAAATTAAGACAGGACTCTTCCGATCAAATTAATTTTAGTTCGGACTACAAACAATCAAAAATCTTGTAGCACGGGGGTACATGAATTCACTGTCTCTCATTGATAATACTTCAACCTAGAATCTCCTTTTTGCTTTTGAGACCATTTTTGTGCATTTGGATAAAAAAAATCATCTGCTGTGCTTTTCACAAAAGAATGCAATGCAGTTGGACACTGAAAGGGAAGTTTACAATTATATAATGAACAAAATTGATAGAATATTTAATAATGTTTTAAACGTACAACTCTAGAAACCTTTTATGCATCATAGTTACTAAACACTTCAGTGAAAAATGTTCACAACATCATGGAAAAAACTGCTGTTATGGAACACATGGACATGGCAGATAAGAAACCTTAGATTATGTTTAGTCTTGAGACCTAAAGAAATAGACTGCTGCTTGATCCTCAGCAGTAACCATACCAGAAGAATGTGGGGTTTGGTTGTTTTGTTGCTTGGTTTGGGTTTTTGTTGTTTTTTTTTTTTTTTCTCCAAAGAAAAGACACTGTGTCTACATTTTCAGAAAAAAACAAAACAAAACAAAAACAACCTACAGAATGAGCAGACCTGAAGATGAAACAATATTTTTTTTTTCAAGTAATTCCTTCAGGGAGAGGTTAAGAGTTCAGCTGTGAAAAGGACAGATTACCTATTTCATTTCAGCATCGAAGTGAGTCATTTGTTTGAATACAAAAGTCAATTTGTAACTTTGAAATAATTTTTCAAAAAGTGCACTTTCTGGTGGAGCACTCTGAGTAGTATGCACTATATCTTAATTTTTAACAAAATTTTATGAGTGTGTAAATTTTATGTTCCTGGGTGGATGGATGGATGGATGTCTATGTCTTTTCAACACAGAAAAGAACCTTCAACCCATAATGGATAAACTATAGCTAAATGTAAAAAGTGCGTTTTTATAGGGGAAAAAAAAAAAAAAAGTATCATTAACTTCTTCAGTGATTTTAGATGCTACTTGAAACCAAAGTAGCTACAAATTCTTTGACAGAAACAAACAAGTTGGCAGTGTCACTGTACCAAATGTGGAGCAACAAATGATGTTGTTAGACCTACACAGGCTCCAAATAAAATCAGCTCTACGTGCATTAATAAACACAGCACCAAACACGCTGCACTCATCTTCAGAAGAGCATCACAGATTAGGATCCAAGCGCAGCGGAGGTGAGAGATTGCCTCTCAGGGACAGCTGAGGGAGGTTGCAGAGGCTGCAAACAGATGGGGAGTTGTCAACCTGTGATTGAAACCCAAGGACTTGCCTTGCACACAAGTCAAGCAGTGACAATATAGCCCAAACAGAAATCTGAGGTGGCCGAAGGCATTTTACAAATTTCTACGCCAGTTCCTTAAAGAGAGCTGTTCTCCAAGGCTGTTTGTGAAAGGGTTTACCCTTTACTCTACATTTCCACTGGAGATGCAGTTTATAAGAGAAATGTGCTATACCAGAAAAAAAAAAAAAAGCTAGTAAAAGTGCATTTACATTAGGACTTTTGCCAGTATATATACGTATGTTTAAAAAATAAAATGAAATAAATTACATCCTTTCAGCAATACTGCTATACTGGTCAATGTTCCAAATGTACACCAGACCTTGTTTCTGCCTCATAAAAACATCTCCCAAGGATAAATATTTTGACTTATGAATGCGCTGTATTATATCAAACAACATGTATTATCAACAACATTTTTTCTGGTCCAGGATTCTACCTTTCGTGAGATTTTTCTAATGGTGAATCCATGTAGAGCCACATTTTAGCTGCAGAAAAAATGATTTTACACCCGTGATAGCGTATTCACAAAAATCATGGTTCTCTTACAGTCTAATTCTTGACTGAATTTCAACGTTCACCCAACATCAGCCTACAAACTGAAAAATTAGATCCCTTCCTGTACAGTTGATGACAGGCTAGGAAATACCTTCCCATCTCTTTAAGGTAGTCACAGGACTTGACGTAGCCTTCGGAAATGCAGGCGCTTGTCACTGCATTGTGCAGCAACCATCAGATTTATACAGTTAAAACGACTTTGTTTTGGCACATATAGGAGTCATCCAGATTTGGGACTGTCCAGTAATTTTAATTTTGATACACGAGGAAGACACAGGAAATAAAACTGAGATGCTGCTGTATATTCCAGTTGGATAATTAAAACAATTTCTTCTGTACAGTACCGTGTAAATGTGAGTGGATATTTAGAGCATACCTCATTGCGATTTTTCCATCTGTTTTTTCCAAAGATTATTTGCTTACAGATGTGCATACACAGGTATGAGAAAACTTAAGCGGTAAAGGTTTTAAAAGCAACACATCCTCTGTTTTACATATCTAGGGGTGAGAAAAAACAAACGAGTTAATGAAATGCTGGTGGCAATAAGCTCAGATTGGCCTGACAGCAGGTGAAATGCACAGGCAAAGTTGCTATAAATACAAAAGCACGTCTTCTCTTTTGTATTTCCATATTTACTGGCAGTCAGAAATACAGCATGCTACTGGTAAAGTGAATTTTAAAAAGTCACCATGACAATAGAACATGATCTATCTCAGTTTTGGTTTTTTTTTTCCTTTGTAGAGGGCCCTTTTAACCCAAACCTACATGTAAAAATGTGTGAACTGTCATTTTTCTAAAGTGTTTGTAATTAGGTGGTTTATGCTAGAAGACATAGATTGCTGTTAAGTATGTATTATTATTTTTGCTTTGTATTATTCCATAAGAATCTGTGGATATTCAATTAAAATGAGACTAATCCTTAAGCAAAAATGTATACCCTTTTTTTTTTTTTTGTCAGTATCTTCTATTTAGACTTTGGCTCCATAGAGAAAATACAATAAAAATTTTCCTTTGGATGTTACTCCTTTGAATAAAGCAAGTCAATGTCATCCCTAGCAATTATGATACTGCAAAATGATCCTCTCCGAATGTTTTTACTAAAATAACTTCTATTCTACAGACACGGCCTATGATCTTTCTCAGTTTCCCTCAGTGTTATGCTTCAGAAGAGAGTCACGGAAAAATAGTTTCCCTTGGGTTTCTATCAACCTGCACAGAACAATACTTGTCTCGGGTTTTTTAATCTCACATTATTTTTGCATATCTTTTTTTATGCTTAAATTGATAACAGAATTG